GGCGCAGCCCGAGCTAGCTTCCCCTGCTCGAGGCTGCACCACGGCGCGAAGGCCGAAGGGGGAGAAGGCGTTGCCGCGTTAACCGACTCCTCGCTACCTCCGTCATTCCCCTCGCTGAAGCAAGGTCGGCGTGCATGTTGCTTTTACCCCACTGCACCCCTAACTCTTGTCCAAACCCTTTCCGCTTTTCAGATTTGGTGGCCTGCATCCATATAACACCCACAATCATTTTGTCTGCTCAGGTGTATGTTGTCGCTGCGTGATACAGGCCCCTTCAGTGGCAGGCAGGCTGAAAGGGAGTGTCGGTACCTGCGATGAGGGCAGCAGGCTGAGAGGGAGGGAAATGGGGTGCAGGAAGGGAGCTAGTGAAGATTGCCTCGGGGCAGATGAGCTCAGAGATGCTGCTGAATCGTCAGAACTCTGGACAATGCCAGTCACTACAGGGCCACATGCTTCAACACTAGGTATTATCTAAGAGAGCAGTGGCTGCAGGATTGCATTCAGAGCTGGTGGAGCAAAAGATCACGACTGCCTTTCCCTGCACCTCCCTGGCTGCCATCAGGGCACCAGCATAGCCCTCTGCTTCGGAGTGAAAGGCTATGGCTGGCCTCCCAACTCTTGCTCCAACCGGTGAATGATGAGCGAGAGTGCAAGTGAATGTGTGAAGTTACCTGCTATTAACAGCTTAATTAAAGGGGTTTCAAACAAATACAACTTGCCCAACCACATCATCTATCAAGAAATTTACATCATTGCCATCTTCGTATCCAGGTGCATGTTAGCAACTCATGCAAAATAAATGGTTTATCATGACACCTATGTTTTTTGAGCAAAATGAAGTCACTTTCTTGGGGTCAGTCTTGGCCCAGGAAACATTCCCTTTTATGTAAATGGTCTACCTCTTCCATGTTTGAAATGTATGATCTTGCATTCTGTTTTATAGTACGTGTTATCTGATTGCACGCTATTTGATTCACTGGCTGATGACTGCCCATTAATTATTCTGAATCCTAGGTGATGGCTAGCATTCAGTCTATTTCATGTGCTGCATTGATTTAGCAATCCATAAGATTATACATTACTAAATAAAACACCTCATGGCCTTACAAGAGCTTTGTATCAATTGTTAGAGATTTCCTTACTGAAGAGGACGGTAGACAGTTGACTGTGAATACCACACCCTCAAATTGTGTGGACTGTGAATACCACACTAATACACTTAAAGACTGTTCCATAATATTTTATGGATGGGAAACTTGAAATTACTTGCTAAGTAAGACATTGTGAATAAGCAACACACCCAGAAATTTAGCTACTATCAGTTTAGTAATGATGGTTAGTTTGGACGCAACAGAAATTTGTATAATAAGAGATAACACATTCATTTTTCTGAATGTACATACCAGCTGTAAAAATTTCTGGTTAACTTCAAAGTTTTAAGCTCAAGATAGTTCAAAAAGAGTTACATAATCAAATAGCATAACTGTGGTGTTCCTGATTTCAGTCTTTAGCCCTCAGTTTGTAGGCATGTTTTGGTAAATCTAAGACATCTAGGAATGATACAAGTTTAATAAACAAAGTCCCCTACACCACCCATTCAGCATATTATATAAAATGACTGTTCCTCAGATGTCTGTGCCCATTCACAGTTAACAGAGCACCTCTACCCTTCTAATTGTCATTGGGAAACTACAGGAATCTCATAAAAAGGTTAAAGAAAAAGCTTTAGACCTCTTTTTAAAGATATGTATTTTGCCCAAGACAACTACAACTTCTCATTTTCAGCTGCTTTTATATCATCCAATTTTTTTCGAAAAGATGCCAAGAGACAGAAAAGAATCCACACTCACAGCCAGAACACTCTTCATTGAGCACCATTAATGGGTACTTTAAAATAGTTTGAAAGCTTGTCAATAAATTCTCTAAACTAAGACCAGCATACTTCATTCAGAAAGGAAGAGAGCACACTGGAAAACTTTTCCTCTAAGGAAACAGACAGACAGAAAGATCAACAGGAGAGGAAGTTAGCAAAGAAGAAAAGCACATTTTTCTAGTGGTTAAATCCCTGCTTTTTTCTATGGAGATTTATGATAGCATGTGTATGATTCAAGCTTGCTATTCAAATACAGTAAATTCCTTTAAATTTAATTTTACTGAAATAATAATGAATACACCGCCTGCTAGTAGTGAGCAAAGCAACACATTGGTAACATCACGTTAAAAGAGATGATGCTTGTCTCACTGTCATAGCTATAAGTAGCTGTTACGGCCTTAACTTTCCCAGCTGTTCAGCTGAATTAGGATACAAGCTGAAAAAATGCAACTATGTGTGTAGCGTAGCTGGTAATGTTCTGACTTTTCAGAAAACTAATATTAAATGTAGTATGGCAGATAAAGCATTAACCAGTACAGAATCTGAGAAAAAAACACATTGTTTTGCATCAAAGAAATAGTTTTCTCAATAACCTAAGCATACTTATAACACTCTTAGAAGCCTACCATCATATGTTCAAAATACTGATTAATCTTCACATCTCTGGAACATGTCAGCAAACCTTTTTATTGAAGTCTTCAGGAAGGTGATGAAAAGGAAAGGCATGAAGCAGTCAGTGGTAGAGCTAATGTTAGAATGCAAGACTGCCTGACACCCAAATGTGATTTTTTTTTAATTCTAGGTAACTTGAGTTACTCTAACAGGACTTTAGAAAAGAAAAATATTCTTGAACAAGATGTTCTGGGGAGGGCAACAGAAACAAAAATTTTGTTAAAAACCAGGCACTGACTGTTCTTTCTCAGCAGAATCAAGAAGTATAATGGCAAAAGAGTATATACGACAAGGCTCTAAGACTCAAACGTGGCAGGCCTAGTTTAAAAGCAAAAAACAACACCTCCCCACAAAAAAACCCCCAAAACATTACTTGGTGAGGGAGCTATAGGTATTGGGGTTCCACAGTATTCATTTCCAATTCCTCTATTTTCTTCAGTCAGAGCAGGGATTATGACTCATGCCCTTCTACAGACCAAAAAAAGGACAAAACCTTGCATGGACAGTGGTTTTAAGAAACATTACATGTGGCATGTATTTACATTATCATGTGCATTCACACTGTAACAACAGTAAACAGGACTGGCAGAAACAGGTCAAATACTAGGCAGCCCAATGGTTACACCTAATGTTATTTACGCTCATTCAAATGGGCGGTTGAACTGCTTGGCAATTGCTTCTTTTTGAATTACCATTAAAAGGCCAGGAGAATTAGATGCATCATAATAAGAACTGACTGTTAAATGCAAGACTCCCAAGATATTATTAAAAAAAATTCCTGTATACACAGGATCTGAAGTATTAAAATCGCCAAGAAAATCTGGTTTGCAAAACAGTCTTTTATTGTATCCGTGCCACACATACTAGTGAAAAATAACACTCCTAAAAAAGGAAAAGAAAAAGAATGCTACCTTTCCACAACATTTCTTTTAAATAAAACTTCAAGTACTTTTACATTAGTACAAAAAAAATTCTGATCTATCTGCCCCAACAGGCCACCACAACACACAGTAGGTAAAACACAGTGGTTACAAATGTCTTTTTTGTTATTTCTGTGGCAAGGCAAATGGAGGGAAATGTTTCTATGAAAAAATACTGTGTGCGTAGGAAATTGTCACAATTTTATTCCACATGGATACAAATGATTATACTTGAATTTGAGGCCGTGGTGGCTTGAAATTATATAACAAAATAGAAAAATGGAAAACTAATATCCCCTACACCCTGTTTTAAAGGCAGGCACTACCAAGATTAAGGAGACTCCACAGTGTTGGTAGAGGATAATTACTGTACAAGCCATATAGCTATAATTACCTTAAGACTAAAATAAAATGCTACCGTCCTCCTAAGGCATAAACAATAATGTCTGCAAACAATATGTACACATCATACATATTTAAAACAAGACTTAATATAAACAATAATGAACAGTATATACATGTCTCAATTTCTCTTCACTGTCTTGAAATACAATTTAACTACACAAGTGATGCAGCAACATATATATAAATGTACTTGTAACTCTACAGTAAAGTTTAATTTTTAGTGCTTTTACAGCACATCAGTGTAAACAGTTTTACTTGGCTTTGTTTTATATTTTAAAACATTCCTTGTTGTATTTTCAAGATTTAAAGCAATTTTCTAATTCTTCCTTTTCACAGAAAACGAAGATTCTGAATGCTGTATAATCATAAATAATTCATAAAATTAAATACATTCACTAAAAAATAAACTACAAAGTAAAAAAATGAAAAATAGATATTTATTGAAAGGGAAAAGAGAACCATTTCCCCGAGTAGAGCTCTGGTGGTTGAATATTCAGTGCGTTTTGATATATTTTAAACTGCTATTGCACTATAAACACCCCTTTCTTTGAAATTCTTTGGGTGTGCTTCCCTGTTCTACCTAAATTAGTTTGTTAAAACACACAAACCAATAACCAAGGGGCCATGGTTGCTGTAGGAGTGAAGCCTTTAGAACTAGTATCACAACTCTGTGATATTTTAAAGGAAAAAACAGTCATTAGTTATGCATGTGCCTTGCACTTTCATGTAAATACAGTTCACATTGCTGGTCTTATCAGTCCTCATTTAATGAAAAAGAAAAACGAAAAAAAGGAAAAAAAAAAAGAAAAAAAGAGTTCTGGTAACTTCAGCTCACTTTGAAAATCTCTGTCCATTTTTTTTCAAAATACTTCCTCATGTTGTGGCCAGCCCTGCCTATGTCAGAATCATCTTCATTAAAGGTTTCACAGTTGTCAAAAACAAGCCTGACATCTAGCGAAAATGCTTCAAGATTAGGGTACCTGAAAGAAGAAAAAGGTGAATGATTTTTGGAACATGGAGAATCAAAGGGGAAAAACACTTCAACTACGTGAGAATGAACTATCTTAACATCAGTGAATTTACAACCAGCCACAGAATATTCAATGAATGCTCTACATGTTAATTATACTTTGAATTTTTAAATTCTAATTTAAATATTAACAAGAAAATGATCGTCAGTGGAAGGAAATACTCTCTTGTCACTGTATTTATTATTTTCCTCAAAAACTCTGTAAGGTAGAATTTCAAGCCTGTACTGGAAAACAAACTTTTTTTAAATTAACTTCCCCGTTCCCTTCAATAGCTTTCTAGTTAAAATGCTATGGCTATTTTCCATTTATTCATCTACTCTTGGGCTCAAGTTCTTTCAAAGTAAGTGTCAGTACAGCTGCATTTACCTAAAAGAGGAACAATCAGGTACAAAAAAAGGCTGCCCAGATCAATCCTGTAACATTGTCTTTGTTATTCTTTTTACTATCCTGAACATACATGGCCCGAACAGTGTTCCAATATTCATAGGAATTATTAAGAAGACAGTAAAAATTACAAGTCTACCAATACCAATGAGTATGCATGGAGCATTTAAATCTCAGATTCAAGGGAGAAAAAGCCTGAAGAGGTTAAAAAGCCCCTTTCGTTATCCTAGGAAACCTGCTTTGTGGGGAGCTGCCAGACGCTGAAGAGGGTCAGTCTTTATGGATGACAAAATTTTCTTTGGTGGTGGGGAGTCATTAGAGCACAGGACGTAACAAGGAGGGAAGGGGAACAGAGGAACACAGTGCCTTTTTTAAGAAGTTGTGCAGTCTAATTCTAGGACTATAAAATGATTAACCACCATTACTGGAATGTTACCTGGCTTCCCAAAGCAGGCCTACCAATTCACTCCACAGCTACAACATTATTTACAGGGACTCCATTAGCTTAAAGCCCACACTGTTGGTTCTTGCTTACATGTTAACAACACTAAGACGTCTCAATGAGCAAAGATGAGGAAAAAAAGGTTTTCCTGTTGATTGACTTTGTGCATTTGACCTGGCAGTTTCACTGTTTTTCAGCCAGTTCCACAGGTTCTCCCACCTGACATGCTATTTCACTTAGATATGGCAAAGACAAAAGTATACAGTGAAGAATTTTTATTTTGACTGTAAAAGTAATCACAGAGGTGCCAGAGCAGGCAGATCAAAATAGTTTAACTAATTTTAAAAAATTTACTGTATTTCAATGTTTAAATACTTTTAAAATGTAAAGTAAAATTTACAATAGGTTTACTTACTGTCCACTACTTAGCTTGTCTCTAATGGTGGAAAAGTCCATAGGTTTTTTAATAACTTTCTTATAACCAGGAACAAGTTTCAAGTTTACAGGAAGTAAGAAAGGCCAGGCATCTTCGTGAGTTTCCAGTTCTGAGAGAATCATGCTGAATAAAATAAGGTTTTAAAATCAGTATTTTTAAGCTGTTCATATATTCACAGAGGTTTTTCACTGTTCCATAAATTCATCAGGTACTGCCAACCTATTCACTTTATAAAAGGAAAGCACTTTATTCTGTGCCCTGTGCAGGGCTGAGAACGATGTCTATAAAGACAGGCATCTTAACTGATTATTTAAAATAGCATTAAATTCTCTCCAGGCAACCTATGTAAGATTAAATTCTAGTAATCAACATTCTAAAAGAAAAACATGGCCCTGCAACTTCAGTATTTCAAACCTCAATGTAAACCATTTCCAAACCAGTAAAACAGCTGCTAATGCTGGCTTTCCAAAACTGTGAAGCTAAACTATGTCACTTTTGACTGACCGGCAATACTACAAAAGAAGATGCATTCCTGTTACTGTCTCCTCTGTAATGCAACGCCTTTTGGACATAGTGGATTATCATCTTTGCTACACTTGAGAAAGCTGTCAGTACCACTGCTATCAGGGTTCTTTCTTCCCATTCTTGGAAGGGCATGTAGGAGTAGATTTCACAGACCACATTCTAACATTAGGTACTTTCCTCTTGGGCTTCATTACCAAATACAGCAGTTACTCCCAGCAAGCACACATCAAATCCTTTATATACACACTCAAATTATCACAACCTGTATGGGATACATGACAATGAATAGGGTTCTGGTTCCTCAGAACACAGATAAAAAGCATCAGGCACTACATGTTTCAACACCACTTACCCAAGTTTAGAATTTGTCACTTTACCTGCATATAGCCAGGTCCTTGGAGTCATCTCTTTTAGGTTTCTTAATAGCAGTGAAATTTTCTTGCTTTAATTGGCTTACAGAAACATTTTCATCCATTTTTCTTTTTTTAGGGTCTGTTTTTCCTCTTTTTAAGGAGGCGCTTGTAGTTGCAGAGTCTTCATCCTCTGTATCTCCTGCTAATTTCCTGCTTCTCTTTTGTTCATTACTTTTTTTCCCTTTGATTTGAAGTTTTTTTATTTTTAGAGTTTGACCACTTGCCTACAATAGAGAGAACTGAAATAAGCAATAACCAAGAAATTACAGAAATCTCTGTTATTATTGATAGACAGCAATGAAGATCAAACAAAGAGAAGCACCAAAACAATTGAGATATTTAGTATCAGAGATTATTCACTTTTTGATCTTCTCTAAAGGCAAGTAAGGCTGTAGAAATTCCTGTTACTAGTGATTTAGGTTCTCAACTTGTGACAATATAAAAGCATCTGACGTTCAGACTGGTAAAACAGTACCCCCTAACAAACCAGGCTGGCATAGTTTTAGACAACTATTTGTCTGTTCTTGAAAGACTGATATAACCACAGCTGGAATAGTATATTCATTTTCAAGCAACCATATTATTTGCAAGATATGGAAAACTGGAAAAGTTTTTAAAAAGTCAGGGACAGGATCAACTGATTTAGAGAATAAAAGATATGAAAGACATAGCTCGGCTACAAGACAGCTACAGGAGAACATAAAAGGAGTATGACAATGCAAGAATACTACAAAGTGGGAAGAAAGGAACGTTATTTAATACAGAACTATTTACAGACAATAAGATGAAACTAAGGGGTACATTTTAGATTAAATAAGTAGGTTATTATGGGTATTGACAGCATCGTAACACGGCACAGTATCTGAAGTCATCATTCTGATCATTAGAATAGGAACTCTGTGCAATGTCAAGTCAAGGACACAATGCCATTGGAAAGACTCACTGACAGTCAAAGAATGAAAAGATAGAAAACAATTTTCACGAACAAAGACAGCCAGCATCGAAAGTACGAAACTCTGCCTGTGTTACTAAGACTAGATAGTTTGAACAATTTTTAAACTGTAACATTTATACTCTCCTATCAAAATACTATTTGGTTTTAAAGTTATCAAAACCTGTATTTTTATAATATACTTCTTCAGAGTTAAGAATATGCAGATTTCGCTACCTACTAGAAACAATTACTACACAATTCCTTTATTTCACGAATGTCATAAATAACAAGTATTTGACACTGATTGTAACTAGCATGGTGAAAAATGTAGTCAGTTGGTACAAATCAGATGATGAATGAATGCATGAATGTGGAAAAATGTATGTTGTGTATAGAATTCCTTTTGCTTAACACAGAACACTAGAAAGATTTGTAAATAATTGTACTCTCTTAACGCTACTCTGTATCATGACTATGTTCTTGGTCCAAGAATAGAAAAACAGTCAAGTACATGAGTTCACATGGCAATTGAAGAGGAATGCTGGTTTTCAGCCATTTGGTTAAAAACACGATGTTAAGGCAATGAGAACAGATCAACTGTCATCACCTAAGCCCTGACTTTGAGACATTCTGTGAATATTAATTCTAAGTAGGTGGGAATGGCAGATGTTGATGTTTTTCTTGTTTTACACAAGAGAAAAAAAAATAAAGTTGAGTTAAATTAGGATGTCATAGTTTATACCTAGTCTTCAACAAAACTGTTTCAATGTTTTGCAGAATTTTGAATCAATATTCAACACGTTTTAAAGTTCTGCTGGAATTTCACCTTAAATTTCTGGCACCTTTAAATCTCCAGCTTTCAGCCAAGTTTGGGACAGAAAAAAAAAAAAAAAAACCTGAGAAAACAACGTTTTTCTGTTATACTAAACCCAGTTGTTATTTTGAAGGGGCAGGGGGATATCAAGAGAAGTGATGGGATAAGTTATAGCATGATAGGGTAATTTCTATCTTTATAACAAGCTAAGTTGTAATATAACCATGATAATGACAGAAAAAGTTACAGCATGAGTTAACCTCTTATAAACTCTTCTTCAGTTCCAGTATTCACAGGTAATGGTAGAAAACGTAACTAACAAGTTTAGCAAAAAATGCATTTAATTTTAGGACTAACTAGGGATGGGAAAATTGTGGACTTTTAAACAACACTAACTGCTAATTCAGTCATTCCAATAGAAGTGTCCTAAAGTTCTATTTAGACTATTTTTCTTGGGAGGGGGAAAAAACCCAAACCTCATGCAGGAAACATACATAGCCTCTCTCTCAAATGTACTGTGTATCAAAAAAGTAAAACTGAAGTATGCTGTACAAAAATGACAAAAAATATTTACTAAGTATTTTCTCCTATTTTTTCTTTTCAAACAGAACCTAAGACATTGGTCTGTCAACACTTAACAATGAAGCTCAAAAGACAAATACTGAAAAAATTCTAAGCGAAATAAAAAAACCATGGTATTGAATCAGCAAGAAAATTCTGTACTTACATTAAAAAAATACAGTTTAAAACAAATAAAACTGTAGCCTTTACTGCCACTAAAATCCAAGTTAAATAAAACTATTAATCTCATTATTTAATGGCAGCCCAACATAAAACATACAAACCATTATTTTCATTGAAAAAAGCACTGGTAGACCTGTAACTCTACCATCCATAAAAAGGTCACTATAAGTCACGTCACCTTTATGGTTAGTATTACCTTTGCTATGCAGGCAGGACAAAACCAGTCACCATCTGGTATGGTAGTGATCTTGGGCCTGTGGCAGTAGGTATGACAGCCTTTATCGCAACCATCACAAAGGAGCAGCAGTTCCTCATTATCTCCCTTTCGACAAATTTGGCAGTACTATAATACATGAAAAATGGCTTTAATTCAATTTTTAAAATTTGAAACACAGGAATGGTACCTAAATTACCCTTCCCCTCCATACACACAAATTCACTCTCAAAATTATTTTCCTTTCATTTCACCACAATCGGAGTCTACTAACGATCACATTTGTAAAAGACTATATGCAGTATGTGAGGAACTAATATAAAGGCTACATTTGGGAACACATTTGGAAAAGCAATTCATTATAAGATAGATGTCCTACAGCACACAAAACTATGAATACTTTTTATATTTCATTAATGTCCGTGAGAAGTAAATGTATTTTATACCCATCAAAATCACTTGGCCCACACATACTATCTCAGGAATCTTCTCTTCGTTTATGCCCATACTGCATATATAAGTTGCTATTTCATAAAAATAGTTTATATTTTACGACAGTATTTTCAAATAATAATCAGTAAGGATCTTATCCAAAGGCCACCATGAACAAATTCAGTAAGGCAAAACAAATTATCCTAGCACTTCCTAAAATTCACACTAACTTAAAATATCTAATGTATTGTCGATTTTCTTATGCACATTGTGTGATTTTGGTACCCTTCTATAGCTGGACTTCTTTTTCAGGAACTTAAAAAGATCTCCACTTTTTCACCAAATACTTACGTTTACTGTGTAATAAAATGCATAGAACATTTCAGTCAAATTGAGAATGATACTATACATTTTTTCTGGATAATAAATTACTACACCTTGAAACATTCAAATGCCTCTCCAGGTGCTCCTACTAAATTCATAAACTTTTTGCTCTAAAGATACAGCTTTAAACTTATAGTTATATAAACTCAAAGGTACAGCCTTACACTATAGTTTTTATTTGAATCATCCTTTAATTGTCCAGGTGTAATTAGAATCTGTACAGGACTGGCAGAAATTAAAAATTAGGAAAAAGACCACTAATGGAAGAATCACTTTTGTTACCCACTACATAGCACTGGCCATACTTAATCACATCATAATCACTACTGCTGTAGTAATAGTTTTGTTTTCAGAAATTTGAGGTTCAAAGGTCCATGCAAATTTTGACACATGCATTTTGCATGCCTTCTGTGTATATGCAGTTAACACAGATCTACTTGTTAAGTGTACAAGGAAACAGGTATTTCAGCCTATTTGCTCACACACTTGCCCAATTTGTATGTTCAGCTGTGAGAAGTGTGCATGCAAAGGAGCCACACATTTGGAGCATCTCAACTTTCTGAAAAATGAAGTCCTTAATTGGGATATGTGATGTTCAACCTCCATAAAGCTTATGTCACGGATGAGATCAGAAACTTTCCATCAGATAGAGTATCTTCCATCAGATGGAGCCAGAAATTACTTTTTTACCTAAATGTTAACAACAAAGAGTAATTACCATCTTAAATAAAGCAACCAGTTACAGGGGATTTTTATCTTAGAAAATTCAGGATGCTGAATTTGGCAAGAAAGGGACAATCTTTTCCATTAGGCTTATATTTATCTGTGCACAATGTACAGTTTAACTGTATTAAGTTTTACACACAGTAGTAAGAAATGCATTAACAACCATGATATCTTAAAATGCCTGAAGTGGGAAAATAGGATATAGCAAAAATAGTTTAGTTACAGTACTTTTCTTTTAAAATTAAAAACACTTACAACTTTCATAATAGATTTTTCCCATGCTATTGATTTCTGTAACTGCTGAATGCACAGAGCTACCTGTGCAGCACTGCGCGCTTCTGACAATGCCCTTCTCCATACCCTTAGCCCTGGAGCAATATCCTCTTCAGTTCTGCATTGAAATACAGAGAAATTAAGTAGGTCACATCCGTGTTTGCTTATGTTTAAACGTGGAACAATCATTATCACATTGAAAGCCAAGCAATGACAAAACGTACACAGCCAATAAGTATAAGGTTTAAGCAACTAAATTTCATGTAGTGCACAGACTGTGGCTACGTGCCTCAAAGCTTAGTCACAACCAGTTAAATGTAAGATAACTTTGCAAGATTATCAACAAACGTAACAAAAAAATATCTTTACAAAGCACCATGCAGAATAACATGATCCATATGGATCACAGACATACAAGAAAGTACATAGATAACAGGCAATAAGAAAATAGGCTCCAATTAGCAAAGAAGCACAATAATTTTTCAAGTTAATCTCAATAACCTACCCGTCACCATCACCACTAATGGATGGTGCAGGAGCAGGGACAGTAACTGTGCCCACATTATCCAGTTTGATCTGAATGGTGGTACTTAAGGGGCTCTTCAGATACCTTCGCTCTATGTTCCGCTCCAAGTCAGCAAGCCTGGTTACAGCTATATCTAGAGGGTTGTCACTCTTCCGCTCTAGAGAGCTGGTATTGCCTTCTCCGCCTCCAGCACAATCTCCATCGTGCTTCTTGTGCAATCTAGTAATTGACTTATGTTCACGATACACCAAGTCGTCTCTCTCTGATGCAGGTTCAGGACACAGCCAACCCTACGTTAATAGAAAGGTTTGTGCATTTATTGGTTGCTGTTAACTTAGTGTGTAAACAGAGGAACTGCTTTATGGAATCAAACTAAGTAACTGAAGCGCTGTTTCCAGTAGATCTTGGTTACTTGTAATCCATCTGTAGAGACAGTTTCCAAAATATCCAGAGAACTAAAATAATTAATCAAAAAATACAAGCATTACCGGACTTTCTGAAGGGACCTTTCTGCAACAGTCTGCATTCTTATCACTTTCTGAGGTATCCTGGTCTATTGGTCGAAACATCAGAATAGGTCTGTCTGTCCAACAGGCTCGGGAGACAGTATCAATTGGTCACACAGAAATAACATCCACCCCTAGAACAAACTAGATCCCAAATACTTCATCTGTACTATAACCAAACATATGCCATTTGATATCCTTACACCCACACTGGAAAAATTCTGAATTGTAATGACAGCCAGTGAATTCTTAACTCTTTCACACTCACAACTCAGAGTCACATGTTCTCCATGACTCTATAATACTCAAGCAAAGTATTATGATGTACTTGTAGGCTTTTCTGAAAACATTAGCAGCAACAAAAACCAGGCAGAACTGTGACAAAACCCACTATAATTAAGTAGTCTACATGCAATAAAATCTTTGCATTCATAGAAAGTTAACAAAATGTGCAGGGAACTGCCCACTGTACAAGAACACTCTCCAGGAACTGCCATTCTGAGCATCTTCAGCTGAAGATTTAACTGCAGTAAAATGTTTCAAATACAAATATCCATGATACTGCTGCAGTGGATTTGTTATTTAAAGACAATTAGAGATGGAATAAGAAGACACTTACCAACAGTAAAAGGACTGCTACTATCTGCTTTAAATTCTTACCACTTAAAGAGACATTTTACTAAAATTTGCTTTTACCTTAACTTGTAAACTAGCTGATGCAACTCTCCTCTCTAGATCTTCCACCTGCTGAAGAATAGCAAGATCCATCTCCATTGCTTGTTCTTCTACTGACCAGTTTTCCACAACATCTCGAGTTACCTGGTTATCTTCATTTTCATTGATATCAATAATTGCAACTGTATTTGAGAATCACATTTTTGTTATTTTCATTAGTAAATTAAAATTACTTCTCTGAGTCAATTCAAGCTGATTTACCTGTCACTCCAGTCAAATGTTGAAGAACTACTGTAAAAGTGTACTACTCTTAAGATACCCACTATGGACAACAAATTCTGTAGGTTTTCAAACTTGCACTTTAAAGGCAAGAAGGGGAAGGAGAGGCTGAGCTAGAGTGTTACAGAGATGGGAAGAGCTTAAAAAGGTTACCAACACTTATGCCACTAGAGCAATTAAATGGAACTTCTCCAATCCTGTAGCTTTCCAGAACAAGGCTGGTGAAAAGGCAACTACAGACAATGAGACCTTTACCTTTTTTCTCCAGCCGCTACTCTAAGTCTCTATCTAAACATATCTCAAAGAGCTCCATGCCAGCCATCTTATGCCCCAACACCATGCGTAACATAAATATCAATTACATACCATCCTTATTTTTGATGCAGGCCAGAGTGATATAATCCATGTGTTTCTGTATTTGCTTTTGTAAGGCCTTTTCTCTTATTCCCCTGAGATGCAGCACTTTAAGCAAAGATTTTAGGTCCTCCGGATCAGTAATCCTCCACCACCCATACCGCATTTCTAAATCAAGACAAGCATATGAACACTTTACAGGCATTTTTAATGTGATCATACACAATCAGATTAGAGAAATCATCTAGACAAATTCAATAGGCAAATTATAAAAAAAAAAAATCATAACATCGTAGTGGCACTGCAGAAATTATCCTTCACATAGTTCCATCTTATTGTCGTATTATGCTTACCTTCTGGTATAGGTTTTGGGTTAGGATAATCTACTGGCTTGGCTACTTCAACTGCTGTAGAAGGGGCAGAAGCTATTTTTTCAGTCTGTGGGGCTGGTGATTCACTTTTACTTGCAGGAACACTAGATGCCAAGAATGAGTTACCATTCGCTTCTGATAATCCCAACCCTGATCCAAGGGCAGGTAAAGGAGATGAAAATGGAACACTTGAAGTAAGAACTCCTGTAGGCCATCCACAAAACTGAAGTCCCATTATAGGTAGTCCAGTCTTCATCTGCTATACAGAATATATTGTTAAACACAATCACAACTACCATTATTAATTATTACCAAGAAACCTGAATTATGATTAGGATGCTATTTGTCAAACAATCAAAACATAAAGGAGGCCTTTACTCAGTACTTTGATTACTTTAAGAAAAACTAACGTAACACTAACGTGTAATACTCCTTATTAGGGCCCTGTGAATGCTTAACAAATAATAGCTTTTAAAGGGAGGGCGTGGTGTGTCGCATTTCTGAAAACTAGTTTTTATTTATTTATTTTCTTTTCATTTAATACCAGTGGCCAACCTCCTAAAAGCCAAATTAAATTACTGAAATACACATACAAAGTATCATACATTGTCTTACCTGATTTTACCTATTTTGATCTTTTTTATCAAAAAATTTCTAGTATTATAAAACATCTGTAACATGGAATTAGTTATTAACATTTAGAAACAGGAAAAAAAAGAAATTATGATATAATGATAGCACTTCTGTGAAACAATTTGTCTAAACAGAAATTCTGCCCAAATAAGCACAGCAAATTCAGACTATTCAAAAATTCATTTATTTACCTGCAGTGGTGACAATGCAAAAGGACTTAATCCCATTGGACTCTGTGCAGAGGTTGAGCCCAGAAGAGGTGATGGAACAGGTGAAGGAGACTTTGATGGTGGCTGTGATTGAGGAGTAAGTGAAGTTGTAGTAGCTGGTGTATCTATATGGGTAACTGACATGTCATCACAAGGTATTCTCGGTAAAAGGCTGAACCACTGTCTGCTCTTTTCAGTAAGAGTCTTTAACAACTGATCATTTGGAATTAGTGGAGAACTGTAAAACTTTCCTGTCCCACTTGCATTAGGACTGAAAAGATTGTTAGAATCAGACTTCTCAATGGTGCTTTGTGATACAGTAGACTGAAGACTGCAGAGAGAGTTTTTTGAGTTACTTGGATAAGATAACGTGCAGCCATTTGCTGCACTGCCATTAGGCTTTGGGGACATAATGTCAGATTCAGGTGGCATTTTTGCTACCTCTAACAGTTTGCTTAGTTTTGAAAATGACCCAGGCTTTTGTAAAAATAAATTAGTGTTGTCCTTTTCTTTCAGATCTTCCTTTTGCTCACAGTGAGTTGTATTTAAACAGTGTAATTTTTCTTCTGTCTCAAATTCTTCTTCTTTGATATGCATGCTTTCTACCTTTTTTAACTTCTCTTTTTCTTTTGCAATTTCTTCTAGGCCTAAAAGTGTACAAGAAACATAGATGAAATATAATACACCAACTAATTTAGACCATTTTTATCATCATAGTTAAATAAAAAATGACTTCATTTTTCGCTCAACATATGCTAGATCACG